TGTATTTTATTTGAATGTTTTTGCATTATGATGTATCTTCATGTCTGCCCTTTTTCAGTGACAGTGTTTTTTTATGCTGTCAGTATTCTCTCAGTGTTACTGGTTTTTAGTTTCAACTTTCTGTCACTGTTTCGGCGTAGGGGGTGGGGTGGGCTTGATGGGAGGGGCGAGGAGCGCGTGATCTACACATAATCTGCATATAATTTGCATACTAAGAAATCACGTCACTCTGACCGAACCCACCGTCCACTCACCTACATGACCGCACATGTGGACGATGGCCTCAACTAGTTGACCTGGAACTCCCAAGGCACAGGTAAGTCTGTTTCTCTCTGCTGCTGTTTTTTTTGTTGTTTTTTCACGTCAAACTGGGAATTTTTTTCATTGCCAATACTTGGTTCAGTGCCAATGCACATTTTTCCAAACCAAGTGTTTCAATGCCAATGTTTCCTTTTTCAGTTCAGATTTTGTTTTCAATGCCAAATTTCATTTTCGATGTTAACATTTTACTGTCACTGTTTCAGCCCCATACTCTCCTAACACCTCTAACACCGTAACATGACTAACAAGCACTTACTATGCACTTGAGGTGCACTTCTTTACCTCATCTCCTTGCACTTAATAGATGTAGTACTTAGTACTTAGGCCAAGGTCTGCTACTGCACTGAAGCTTTAGTGATGTCCCTCACTTGTAAGTCGCTTTGGGTAAAAGCATCTGCCAAATGAGTAAATGTAAATGTAAATGTAAATGTACATGGATTTTGTTGCTCTTTGTTTCTGGTTGTGAGTACAGGGGACATTATCATTGATTTATCATTTGCATAAGGAAAACTATCTTGCGCTAAGATTTTACACTACTGGATATTTACAGTAGGATCTTAACTGTTGGGCAGTTACTTGATTATTTAAAAAAAAAGATAATGATCAATTAATGATGTTCACTATTATTGAAAATCATCAGTAAATAAAGCCCTTTCACAAGTTTGTTGTTGTTTTGATGCTCTAGGGAAGCTTTTTAGATAAGACAGTCAGTTGCGTTGTGGAGAGAGTGTGATGACTGCAGGTGTTTGGACAAACTGGCAAGAGAAAAGCCAACAGCAGCACCTGTGATATTGGTTTCGGAAATGGAAAGTCCAGGTCTAAATGGAGACAGGGGTTTAGAGGTTTACTTTTATTATTCTCAATAATTAGATTTTCTAGCACTATTGCTCACCTCATATCCCCATCAGTAAATTAAATTAAGTTAAAGTTGGCTGTTTCTTTTGTTTTCAATAGATAACATGACCAACCAAACCCTGTCCCATTGTGCTCCTCAAATAGTTTTTGATGACTTTCAGTTTGGAAAATGGGAACTCGGGAGTCACAACAGAAATAGGAATTGTCATAAATAATAGAAAGGCTGTGCAAACCTCACTGTATGTAGACACCAGTGCAGGATGGTCAAATACTTTAGCTAGATACAGAATGGATATCTTTGCAGTGATCTCTGATCTATGTAAGGAATTGAATAAGCTGACTGGGGAAGCTTGGATCAATATCCCGATTGTACTGATCAGCCCGGAACCCGGCAACTTAGTGTAACTGGTAACTGGTTCACTGGGGGAACTGCTCAGTAGGCAGGTAAATCTCTGGGAAAGTTGTTGGATGATTATGTTGAGACAGGGATAGAAAACAAGAACGCCTCTGTGTCGAACAGTCAACAGTCTTCAGTTCATCAGTGCGAGACTACTTTTTTCACTCTGCTCAGACTGAGTACAGCAAGTAGCAAGTGTGCCATTAAAAATTTCCTCTGTATTCCACTGGAACCATGATAACTTGTTGCAGGAGAGTCGAGGTTTTGTGAATGTCACTGCATTTCTCTTGCATAAACTTGGAAGCAGTGTTTGTGAATTCGAAAATTTTGATTTGCATGTTGACCAAAAATATGAAAGCAAATTTTCTTGTTGACTTCTTAAGTGCATTAGCCTCATCTCTATTTTCACTGGTCAGGAAGATTTTTGTAAAGTCTTTGATAATGTCCCCATATCTGTATTTCAATGCAACCTGAGCCTCATAACGGGAGGATGACAGAGTAGGACAAAGAAGTTTTAGTGCTCTTTCTTTGCCCTTTGGCGTCATCAAATCACTAACCAAAGCCCATCTTTTTATACTATGAGCAAAAAAGTTGAATAGTCTTTCTACAGTGTCATAAAACTGATTAACTTCTGGGACATTTTTAATGAAGTCACTCAATTCAAGACCAAGATTGTGAGCTACACAATGCACATAAAGGGCTGGTGGCTCTCTCTCTCTGCAGTTCGTGCCTCTACACTGGAATATATGGCACTCATAGGGTTAGTTTGCAGACCCATCATAACCTTGTCTGCAGCACTTATAGAGATTTTATCTTTTTTTTTTTTTTAATAGAGCCCATGATTTTTCTCTCAAGCTCTGAGGCTGATGAATCAATGGTTAACCCAAATCCCAGAAACGCTTCAGACATTTGTTATATCTGTAGGGATTTCCGTCTTGTTTCTGATGGCAGTTATGGAGTTTGCTAACTTAAGAGATAGCAAAATTATTCTTGTGAGCACATCAGGCCACATATTTGTGTTTCCGCTGGCTCAATATATACCAGGTTCTTCAGCCCAACGCGAGCCCACTTACAGCATGACTGTCTGATGCTGCTTCCACATCTGGACCAAATCTGGCACACACTCAGAAACTCTTGGCCCAGATGTGGAAGTATATAGGCCAGAATTGGGCTGAGGACCTAAGCATATTGGGCCAGAGGCTTTCATTGGAGACATTTTGCCATCAGGGAAGCAGGGGGCTGTGTGATAGGCTGAAAGATGAGAAGGCGGTGACACCTCTGTCATTAAAAGTGTCATGGTGGGGAAAAACTGAACCCAAATGCAAACAACGAAAAAGGGGGTTTGTGGAAAAAGGTCTTTTAATAACAAAAAAGTGACTTACTTACAGAACTCAAAATCCAAAATGAGTTCTGTAAGTAAGTCAATTTAATACTCCTTATTGCTTTATAAAGACAGGCCTTTAATACCAAGTTGTGTGGTCTCATATTTTAAAGGTTCTGTAAATGATCGTTACCAGTAGGTACCAGCTAGTAGATGTTGCAGTTGACCGCATGCATCTCAGAGCAAAACAAATGCTTCATCAGCCACACCTCTGGCCTCCGTTTGGTTCTGTTCGCCCCCCCCCTGTGCTGTAGCAGCTCATAGGTCTCTCCATCTCAGTAAAGCCAGACCAGTATTTGCTCCATGGTTGGGCTGGAACAGAAATTCAGCCTCTGACTTATCCACTGGGACAGCGGTCGCAGGAATGACGCTGAAGGAGCCTGTACATACACTGACGGAGCTGGTGAAGACTTTGAAGTGTATCGGCAGACCGGGATTTGAGCCGGTAGTCCCCATATCTCTTCCTTGTCTGAGGCCATTTTAGATGGAAACGTGGTTTCTTCAGTGGAAGAAATTCTGGACAGTGGCTCTCACCTGAACGCTACGTGCTGCACTGTGCCATCTCACCTGTGGGTGGTGCCTGTGTGTTTATAACTGTGGGGATTACCAACAGTTAAACAGGAGGGATTGACATGCACTAACATGCACACGTACGTGCACTAACATGCACACATGACCAGACCGGCAACCAAAACAAAGACCAGAGAAACTCAGATTACAAAACACACAGAGGGGGTGTGACTTAGTTGTCTGCTCAAGATGCCGTGACTCCACTATATAGCTGCTGTTATTGTTTAACATGTCATTCAAAGCTTTGACCGTCAGCATGTCAACGTTTTTGTTGCTCAAAATGAACGCAGCGGCCAGTTTCCTCAAAACTTAATGTATCTGTAATTTCCACAGTCTTACCTTCCATTAAGCCAAGAGGAGTGGTAGCCATGGCAACAGTTGTTTATCAGTGAATGATAGATAGATAGATAGATAGATAGATAGATATTTACACCCTAGGAGAAATTCATGAAATATGAAAGATGTGACAACTGCTGGAAACATCATTGTAGTTAACCCATAATTAACTTTCCACTGGCTGTAAAGTGCCATGTGCACTGTGTATTTGAAACATAGACAGACATTAAGCCCATACAGAAATGACCCACCTGTCTTACCCTGTAGGTGGGATATATTACTAATTATAACAATTCATTACTGTATAATTACTGACCAATTGGTAATTGCTTCACATTATTACATAATTACAACTGTAAATTAAAGGGTTACCATGTCTTTTGTTTCGGTATACAGTATGTCCATATGTCTATAATGTAACACCAGAACACAATTTCACCAGTAATTTGTAGGTTAACGGATTTGGAAGTCACTGACAAATGACACTGACCAGCTGATAAGAGTCAGATCTGCAAACACTTTGTGTCATCCTGAAGCACAGTTAGAAATAAAGTATTTTCTCCTTTGATTCGGAGGATTTGGGGATAATATATGTCGACTGAAGAAGAACTTGACTAGCCGTCTAGACCAACAAAAAATAAATAATCATCATTTCCCCACCACAATTAGGCGAAATCTGTGGCAGCGTGGAGGAAGCTTTGAAATAGCATTTAGATTTTAAGAGACAAGATTTACAGACAGTTGACACAATAAAGAATGTATGAAAAATGAGTTTAACAATCAATAAAAACGTTTTAGAAACAGATTTTGCGTTTATCTTCTTTATAATTCTGTATTTTCTTTCTTTATTTGATCATCAATACTTTCATTTGACCTCAGTGGCATATCTGTAAATGCTGCACCTTGAAAATAGCTAGGTTTCCAATGAATAGAGCAATGAGGAATACCCCCTCACATACGCGCGCGCACGTACGCGCGCGCGCGCACACACATACACACACACACACACCCACACACACACACACACACACACACACACACACACACAAACACAGACACACACACATGCAGTGGGCGTGCCTTTCCTCCAGCTGGAGTAAATAGAGGCGGCGCAGGACCGTGCGCTTCGGACAGGGACTGGCCACGTCTCTGCGCGCCGACACCGGCTGACACATAAACAGCGCTCCGCTCCATCTCTGCACAGCTCCGAGCTGCTCATCTCACAGGCTCCGGGACCAGACACAGACTACATGCTCCAGGTCGGTAGGTCTCTGTCGACTCTTTAACACCTTTGTCAAGGGCGAGAGCGCGTTGTGTGTGTGTGTGTGTGTGTGTGTATGTGTGTGTGTATGCACGGGTGTGTGGACATTGTGGTGCATCCAGAGTGGGTACTCATGTGAGCTACAGGTGTGCTGGAAAAAAATCCGTGTCGGTAAATGCAGTTTGTGCTGTTTGGCAGGAGGTACACTTTATTAGCGTGTCACAGCGGACTGGAGCTGCTCGCGGTCCGTATATCTTGTCAGCGTGCGCTGCTGGACTGTACGCACGCCGCCTGTCCTGCCACGACTTTAGGGGCAAAGGTAAGTGGACTCCTGGACAGTGCACGCTCCAGCACACGGTCCCCGACTGTCTTTAACACTCAGTCCCTCCGTCGTCGCACCGTGCGTGCAGCTGGAAGTGAAATAGAGAAATTACTGTAAATACTCTCCACAAGGATCCTGTGAGGGCAGCACTGGTGTTATGGTGTGACTTCACCTCAAGATGCTGTCAGAACACTGCCGGTTATTCTCGGGCAGAGATGAGCCGCGTCTATAGGCTGATGGACCTTTAAACACAACTTGAGCGCCAGAGGTTGTTGTCTGAAACAAAGAAGTGAAAATATGCTTTTCTGAGAATAGAGCATGTCTGTCCATCCAGCTACCATTCGCCTCCAAAGCACCGTGTATTAAAGCCGGCGTCTGCAGGTTTCCTCCACTCCTCCACTCTATGAATGGTGCGCACTGTTCGGCTCATGTAGTTCCGCGCGGCCATTCGGCTCCAGAGGAAACAAGTGTACTGTGCTCTCCAGGCTGCTTCCAACAGGTCAGTGGACCGTTTTCCTTCTTAATGTGTTCAGTGATTATGCTTATCAACGCTGTTGTCTGTGCAGATCTCAGAATTTTAGAAACACTTAGAGCAAGAGTCTAAAGTCCCTCATCGCAGCTCATCCCTAAACCTTTCTCTTTCCGCATTTTATATTTAAATCTAACTTAGAGAATACAGGTTACCCTCTTATATGACTGTGCGACCCCCTCCCGCCCTCCACACACACACACACACACACACACACACACACACACACACACACACACACACACACACACACACACACACACACACAATGCCAGGATTACAGCATAATTCCCGTGGCGAAACACTACATTAACTCTAAAACATAATATCAGGCTTAAAAGCTCAATATTGATTTTTATTTGAAACATTATAATACTATGTGATGAGATAATTACAGGTAATTACAATATATTCCAATATGAATTTGTATTTCCTCGGAGGTCTCTTGTGCTGCTTTGGATGATTTTAAGTACATGTGATTATCACTCTTAACATCTGAAAACGATTGCAGTTTCATTCCCTATCATTAACTCAACAGTTGCCCCACACAGTATTAAACTGTCTTGGTGTTGGTGCTGTACAGTCTGATAATGACTGCTACAGTTACTTGGTTGCTTACCTATAGTGCCTAACATCCGCATATGCCGCCTTTTAAACACTTCCCCCTTTTGTCTTCATCTGCAATGCAACTCATCACCGGTTCAGGCAGCTGATGGAGATTCTGTGTCTGTGGGGATCGAGTGGAATCTGTGCATTGGGTTGATGAATTGGTGATGCCTCAGAGCTGTCTTCCTCACCTTCAGCGTCCTCCAGAAAGGATGACATGATGAGGATGAGGAGGACTGTATTAAAGAGCAGGAGCAGGCTGCTGGAAGAGTGGCAGTAATGATGGTAATGAGAAGGAGGAGGACGAGGAGGGTGGCTTTCTTGTGGGAGCGAACAAATTGGTGTTTGAGGGACCTGCTCTGTAAAAACTGATGGTTACACAACCGGGTGAGACCAAAAATAAGAAACGGCTCTAGAAAGCTCAGGTTGTCAGTCTGTTGGGTTTTGGTGGTGAAACAGAGAATAGGAAGGTGTAGAGAATCTTGAAAATGAATCATCTGAGAGCGAGCTGCCTCCCAGCGTGAGAGGCTGGAGTTGGGATTACACAAGCTCTGGTATGGTGGCACTGCCTTTCATCTATGGCTGACTTGCAAATGTACAAGCTGTTGTGAGAACTGTTTTGTATGTGTGTGAGTATGACTGATACTCTGTGTGTGTGTGTGTGTGTGTGTGTGTGTGTGTGTGTGTGTGTGTCTCAGAGATTCCTTTCCTTATTATAGGCTTGCATCACTTATGAATCTGCACCTGCTCTGATGTGTCTGATCTGCTGCGACTGGTCTGAGTTCAGCTGCTGCATTTCACTGCTTCGACAAACAAAGCTGACCTGCTGCTGGAAAACAGGAAACCCAATGCGTCAACTACAAATGATGTTTATATTCATCTAATTTACAGCAGCAAATGAATTTTGAAAGAAACGTAATTGCGATCAGGTTATGTTTTCAATTAACCATAATGAGGGAATGTTTTTAATTCACATATAAGGTAAGCCACAAATATGTTGATACTGGACATATCAGTACAATGTTCACAGAGAGTGTGTTCATTCAGTCTTTCTGTACATTATTAAACTTTGTCTAGGTACTCACAGGACTTGGTTAAAGTTGGGGAAAGATTGTGGTTTGTTTTAATAGAGAAAAAGGTTCCAAAATGTACATTTAACCAAGGTGTACGTTGCTGAGCTAATCACAGATAAATGATTTTCCTTACGGCTAGCAAGCCCATAACCTGGTGCCTCTCCCTGCATTGGACTTGAAAGTGTGACCTAGGCCCTGTTCAGAGCTGCATTAACATGTGTCTGCAGTGATCTGATCATAAGTGGACAGCTCTAAGTACGTGAGTTCACACCTGCTTTAAAATGATGATTATAATTGCTGATTAATGATTGACCACTTGTGATCGGCTCTTACTTTCTGCTTCATGTGAAATAAACAGGTATGTGTTGTTGTTTTCAGCGACAGGCAGGTCCGTTGTCAACGTGCTTGTGTGTATATGTGTGTGTGTGAGTGAGAGAGAGTGTGTAGTTGACTTACCTCTGCGTCCTTCTCTTCCTCCACCGGACGGAGGCTCTGAATGGGCCGCGGGAGCCGTTCTGTCTTTTCAGTCCACTCTTCTGTGTGGATGTTCAGTTCGTACCGAAACAGTCCATACTCTATTTTCTCGGTCGCTTTTTTTTTTCTCCAAAGTGTCTTGCCTCCAGCATCTCCCTTGTGGTCTGTCCAATCCCACCCCCAATCTCCACGGGTGCAACTCCAACCCCCCCCGGTATAATGTCAGTTCTGACCTTGCTTCCTTCACCTGCCTAAACCACACCTAGACCTATAAAACAATCGCCCATGATAAAGTGCAAAGAACTTTACCATAACCAAAGTACTTCTGTTGCCTAAACCAAACCACAGACAGGATTCTGGATGTGAACTCCAGCCTCTGGTATGACTGTCACCCAAACCACCTGCTATATTATTAAATACAGCTCTCCCACGATACTTCTAAACATCTTTTGACAAAATATCAACTGTCTGTTAAGGATGTGAGGGCAAAACATGTACTTGCCACAGCCCAAAACTCTTGCTCAGGAGCATTTACTCTGTTATAACCCCCCCTCGTAGACCTAGCCTGGACCCCTCTACAATCAGCTGCAAGCACTTCAAAAAAATTATTTTTACACAAGGTTGAAAATATCTGCCAGAGTCTCTCTCCCTCTGATGAAGCTATCTCCGCCCCAGACAAGAGTCCACCAGCATTTGGCACATTTCTGCCCAAAATCATCTCCATCTTGAAGCTCACTACTGACTGCCTTGATGCTGTTCCAGTCAAGCTGTTTAAAGAGGTTCACTTAGTATCCTCAATATTATTAAGAGGGGGAAGGTCCCACCACAGCTCAAACACGCCGAGGTTTAACCCCCGTCTAAAAGAACTAGAATGAAAGCCTCACGGTCTACGCTTCGGCTAACCAGCCAATTTTCAGCAAGCATGGTCACAGTCTCTCCTTCCTGAGTTACAGTCTTGAATAACAGTCAGAACTTTATGATGTCACAGTGAAGTTGACCTTTGATCATTTGGATATCAAATGTCATCACTTCATTTTATCCTTATAGACATTTGAGTAAAATTGTGTCATGATTAGTGTATGAATGTGTGAGTTATAGATAAAACTATGTTTTTTTAGGTCACCACAAACTTGAGCTTTGACCACCAAAATCTAATCAGTGCACAATGTACCCACCCATGTTGGCGCGTTGTACTCTCTTGATAATGCGCTGTTAAAATAAAAGTGAAATACTGCGCCACCGACTTCAGACCAGGTTTTTGTTGGTCAGTCACTTTTTGCTGCCTCAAATAGCAACGCGCCTCATTTTAAGATCAACACGCCCATGGGTGCTCAGATTAAACAAGGTGAGCGCTGGATGGGAAAATGACAAATGTGTCGGTCCGCAACTAGCAAAGACATTTATGTTTCAATTTGCACCACTTTTTGCTAGGTGTAAAATTTTTACAGTCCCTGTCAGTGTCTTTAATGCCCACCCCCCCCCCCCCGACAGCTACTCCACCACACATTAGGATCTACTCTGTGCGCGCCGGCGACCGGCCACGCCGCCCCAATCGGCAGCCGCGGGACCGCGACGGCAACCACAACCGGGCGCGACTATGCAGCGATCAGAACCACAGTGGCGTTCTTCACCTGTAGGTGAAGGCGCGGATGGCACGCTGGCGAGGCGGCCGGGGCCCGATAGGGGGTACTAAAGAGGAAATCTCTGCTTCCCAAGCCCACCACAAATTACTGTCCAAGCCACAACATTTTGTGTCTTTCAATCTTTTTTAATTTGGCGGGGTATTAAGCATGAGTGATGTAAATGAGCAGAGCTACGGTTGAGTTAATTTGAATGCACTGCCGCTAATTAAGACCTGACGTGAGGCTGTTAAAGCTGCATCGTGAGCATGTCTGCCAACAATGGAGCACAAAAGAGAGTGAGTGAAAGTTCTCTGCTGCTGAACCTGAAACACTGGCAGAAGAAACCAGGGACTGCAGCTGCACAGATGTGCTCCTG